TCTCACCCAGGGCTCACGTTGATTGCACGGGCCACCCCCCAGCAGCAAGGGAACCCGAGAAGCAGTCTTTTAGGGACGCGTACTGCTTGCCGAAGAAAAGGGGGTCTGGGCAGCCAGCATCCGCACGGAGGAGGCGGATTCAAGCCTTCCTGGTGTTGGCCTGTTCGGCTCTGGAGAGCCTGGTCCTTCCTCTGGCCCAGGGCATCCAGACAAGCGGTGGCGAGAGGAATTCCTGGAGACAGGTGTCTGGCTGGCAGTGTGGCTGCAGGGAGCTGCCGGGCAGGAGCTGGTGAGGCCTGTGGGCCAGGTGCCCTCGAGAGGAGTCTGGGGAGGAAAGGCCCCAGGGCATGGTGCAGGGGCTGTCCGAGCCTCTGGTCTACAGGCCCCGGGGGCCAGCTGATGACGGACCCTAACGTGGGAGGCAGGCGTCCTGCCTTCGGGCTCTGGGCCTGGGTGTGGTGCAGGTGTTAGAATGAGCAGTGGACAGGTGAGGCGGCATGGGGCGAGCTGCTCTCCGCTCAGAGCTCAGTGTACATCTGCCTGGTCAGAGACCCCTTCTGTCTGGCTGGTGGTTCCCGTCCTCAGGGTTGCCTCATGGCCCAATGTGGCTGCCAGAGCTCCAGGGATCACATCATGCCCTAGGCTGGAAGAAGAGGAAGGTGAGGAGAAAGAAGAAAGAACCTTTTGGGGCCCCTTTCCCCTGTGTGAACAGTGGGGGAACGGGGCTTGCTCTCAAGCCTTCTTCTTTTGTGAGATCCTGAGAGTCTAGTCCAGCCGTGGGCAAACTACGGCCCGCGGGCCGGATCCGGCCCGTTTGAAATGAATAAAACTAAAAAAAATAAAAGACCGTACCCTTTTATGTAATGATGTTTACTTTGAATTTATATTAGTTCACACAAACGCTCCATCCATGCTTTTGTTCCGGCCCTCCGGTCCAGTTTAAGAACCCATTGTGGCCCTCGAGTCAGAAAGTTTGCCCACCCCTGGTCTAGTCCCAGCTCTGGTAGGATGTTACCGAAAGAGTAATGAGCCCTAAGGGGTTTAGAAAACTTCACAAAAACGTCAAATGCTAAGACTTGCCGCTGTGTGTGTACACGTGTGTGCGTGTTCATGTGCGCGTTCATGTGCGTGTGCCCTCGCTGCGTGTGCTCATGGGCCCGCCTCTCAGTGTCTCTCTCTCCCTCTCCCTGCAGATGTGAGGTGAGGATAAGCTAGCGGCCCTTTCCCGGGACACGGATGTACATGGCGTGTTACATTCCTGAACCTACTATGTACGGTGCTTACTGCCAGCGTGCGGTCTTTGTTCTCCTCCGTGAAAAACTGTCTCCACGCGCACCCTGGAGAACAAAGAGACAGTGTACGTCTGTTTAACGTGACATCAAAGCGAGTATTGTCGCGCTGGGCGAGCCGCTCAGAGCTTCCTTGTCCAAAACAGCGCGCAGAACGGAGCGGCTCCGACACGCTTCCCCCGCCGCGGGGATGGAGGGCGCCTGCGGACGGACGCCACGCGGATGGACTTCTGTCCGGGGCCACAGGTGCTTTGCCAAGGACACGGGTGGACCTGCTCTTGGCGGAGGACAGGCCGGCGCCGGGGCTGCCGGGGCACAGGAGCCTCTCGGAGCCGCCGCGGCCGTCGGAGCCGCATCTCCTTGCTGTAGTGTTTAAGTCTATACCGAACCTTTCTGAGAGCCTTAAGTGGGTTTTTTTTTACACCATAAAGTGATTATTAAGCTTTCCTTTTTACTCTTCGCCTAGCTTTTTTTTTTTTTTTTTTTTAAATTATCTCTTGGATGACATTGACACCGGTAACACCAGGCTGCTGTAACCGCCGGGACAGCGAGACGGTACCTTTCCCAGCAGGATGCGAGCGAATGCGATGTATTAAATAAACATGGTATACCCGCCTACGAGCATTTCCTAGATGTTTCTGGCTGCACGTGCTTCCCCTGGCCCCACCTCGTTTTGCTTTTTAATTTAAGCCACATTGAGAGAACCATGCGTGAACCAATCAGCCGCTGCCCGCCTCCCGTCCCCAGCGCTCCTCGCTCCTGCCGGGCGTGGCCGGGGAGGCGGCTCCCCCGCTGCCCGTGTCGGGACATAACCCAAATTCTTTATTTTTGGTAAGATGTTACGCTTCCGTGTACTCAAGAGAAACGTGTGTGTGTTGCTTTTCGTTTTTGTTTTGTAAAGGTGACGTTTGTATTTTTATCTAATATTACCAGTTTTATATATCTGAGAGCCTGTTATGTTTTTTGTTGTTTTTGTTTTTTAACCAAAAGGGAAAGAAAAACACCAACAAAACCCATACACATGACATGCAATTCGTGGTCACATTTTTCTCGGTGGGTAACTGACTGAGTCTTGGTTTCATCTCTGGTCTCGGCCCGTGGTGGCTGCCAGGGCTCCTGGGAGGGGAGGCCACAGCCTCTGGGCCTGGGGTGTCCCTGGCCGGCCCCCCCAGCAGAACTTGGGGTGCAGCCTGCTCTCGGGACCGGAACCTGGCGGGCATGGGTCAGAGGAGCCCCTTCGCCGGTGCCTGTAGCCATGGAGATGGAGGCGTCCACCCTTCAGAGCAGCCACGTGGATGAGGAGGGTGAAATGCAGAGGTGGGACCTCGCTCCCCATCCTGAGGCCACACCCCAGTTGCCTGTAGGGTTGTCTCCTGTGTCTGTGTGTTTGTGGCGGGGTTTTTATAAAGAAACTAGTGGCCCGGTGCACAGATTCGTGCACATTGAAAGGAAATTAGAAGAAATATTGTAACTTCGCTCTCCGGCCTTAACAGAAGTGTCAACCAAATTCACGATCGACAATGACATATGGAAACACACACGCGTGCGATCGGCGCCAGCGAGAGCTGTATGTGAATGGTGCATGCGCGAGTCACCTTAGCCTCTTATAGATACAGAACAAACTTGCTTCATTAGACCTGCTTTCTGATGCAGCTGAACTTTTTCCAGCTCAGTGAAGCACCCCAACTTCTCCTTCAGGTCATTGTCAGCAACACAGCAGTAAACATCAACGCAAAGCAGATTATTATTGTAGATCACGCAGGGAGAACCAAGGGTAAAATATTTAACTGCAGCCGGGTTTGACTATATTCTGTGCAGTGAGAAAACCTGACGTCATTGTCAAGTTCCACCATTTTTTTACTTCTGTTCAGTTGGGTCAAGTTTCTAAACTTTCTAAACCTCTGTTTCCTGGCTAATGCAAAGAAAATAGGATTCTACCGAGTCTCCTATCTGCCTACTCCAGGACTTCTGTGAGGATCAAATGGGAAAACGCTTCACAGACGTTTGGTTACAGTATGAAGTGTCTGCACCTGGCTATAGAGCAAGTCGTGTTCCTGGGCTGAAGAAACTGCAAGGAGGCTGGTCGCTGGGGAGAGGAGGCCGGGCGGTGCTACGTGACGTCATTACTCGGTGGACACTTAGCACATTAGCCTTTTATATATATAGACTAGAGGCTCGCCAGCCCTGCCCCTGCTGACCGGTCGATCCGCTGTTCGGGCGGTTTGCATATTACACTTATTATATAGGATTCCTCCAGCACAGGTTTTCTCCATGTGGTTGCCACGCCCCTGGGAGGTGTGGGGGGGCAAGGGGTGGGCACATTGGTTGGGTCCCCTGGTTCTTGCAGGACCCCTGGAGGGCAGCACCCCCAGCTTGGGCGGGTGACCTGCCCCAGGCCCGTGCGGGCGCTGCGAGCGCTTCCTCGGTGTGTGCTTGACGCTGTGCCTGAGGATGTGTGTATGAACGTGTCACGTGTGTGCTTGTTCTGTGAGACGCTGAGGACACTGCTGTTTTACTTGGGTGACACCAGCGGGTGAATGGTCTGCCCGGAGCCTCGTGTGTCCTTGGGGAGGAGAAGGTGCCACCGGAGAGGCCAGGTGCCTGTGGGGCCGGGCCTGCTGGCTGCCGGGCACCGGCACCGGCACTGCCACCCGGGGCTGCACTGGGTGTGGCCGGCTGGCTCTGCAGTCCAGGAGCCCCGTCCCCTTGAGCCAGGCCTCGGTCGGGCCCCCGTGTGGGCTGCGCTCGGGCAGAGCGAGGGTCAGCCATGCGAAGGCAGAGGTGGGGCCGCTGGGGTCTGGGGTTGTCTGCCTCCTGCAGGAGCTTGTCACCCCTGCCTCCGTGTGTCCTCATTCCTGCGGTTCTGGGCCCAGCATCGCAGAACCTCCGGGGCAGTGCCCTGTGCGCCCGTGCACCTGCGTGGAGACCCGTGGTCCCCTGGTCACACCCTCCTTGCTGGAGTCGGAGGCTCTGTCAGGAGCTGGGAGGGCAGGTGCCAGGCGTTGGGCATGCCCGGTAGTGGGGGGCGTCTCCCTCTCTCCAGGCCCCCGGCCCGGCCTGGGAGTGAGTGCACCCGACTGAAGAGCAGACACTGGCCGCCGGGGCCGGTCTCACCCTCCAGCCCCTGCACCGGGGCCGGCTCAGACCCCCTGGGTGTGCCCAGCCTCGCGTCCCTCCACGTCCAGTCCAGAGACGGAGCTGTGCCCTGGCATGACCTTGGCTCAGGGGGGACCTGAGCCGAAGGCAGTGAAGGGGTGGACAGAGGTGTCTCCGAGGGCCATCCTGTCGGGGGCCTGGTTCCCAGCGGAGGAGCCGGCAGGGGGCAGTTCCCTGGCCGGGACGGGTCTGTCTCCTGAGTGATTATCGGATAGGGATGCAGAGCGTAGCCTAGAAGAATGTCGATTTGGATGAACCACGGAGGTGGAAGGGGTCGGCAGTGCCCACCAGGGTCACCCGCGTGGGAGGACGCTGTGGGCACCGATGCCCAAACCCTGTGCAGCGCGTGTCCCCACAGCTGTGTCACCTGCACTTCGTAGCACCCCCCCCCCCCCGCCCCCCACACACTTAGAATCCTGCCCTGAGGATGAAGTTGGGAACCAGGGACGGCCCTGCCAGCTGGGACCTCCTGCTGCGCCCTGCCAGCCTCACGCCCCAAGGCTGAGAGCAGAGCGAACCCCTCAATCCCACCGGGCGGGCGGGTCTGCTCACCCCTCGGCCACTTGCTGAGCAGCCCAGAGGGTGGGGGAGGAGGCTCTGCAGGGCTCTCCCCTGCCCTGGGCTGCCCAGCATTGCAGCCTTGGGTGTCTCCTGTGACCTTCGATGACCTTGCCCTGTGACCTTAGCAGGGGGGTCACTTCTCTGTGGCTGTGCTTGGGAGGAATCTTGGGGTCTCCTCACCCTACCCCTGCCGTACGGAAGGGTGAGTTGGAGCTGCTCCTTAGACAAGGGAGCGTGAGCCGTGGGCTGAAGCCAGACCCCAGGCCTGAGCCTCCCCCAGCTGCCCACCCACCTCCAGGAGCTTCCCTGACCAGGAAAGAGTGTGCCCCCTCCTTCCTCCGGTGCGTGTGGAGCTGAGATGAGGGGTGAGCCAGGTGACCCCCAGAGGAGAGGATGGAGGCTGCTGCCTCCCCTCCACTGCCGCTGGGCTTCCTCGGGACTCGGGTCTCCAAGGGGCCCCTGGAGGGGGCAGCAGGCTGTTTGCTCAGAGCCTGGGCCCTCGGGGGCCCTGGGGGCCTCGATCCCCATTGTTATCACTGCACTGAGGAGGTTGGGGGCCAGGACCCCGCCTGGCCTCAGAGCCGCTGTCACTCCACATTCTCCCCCCCCCCCAACCCCTGGCGGCGGCTGGAATCCACCCCCGCACTCTGAGGGGCCTGGGGCGCAGAGCGCAGAGCGCGTGGCTTCTTCAGAATAAAACGGTGACTGTTCCCAGCCAGGCCCTTGAGCTGCCAAAAAATGCGGAGCATTCACCGGCCGGCCCCTGGCCGCCGATCAGTGGGCAGCGTTCCTGGGAGGACGGGCGCCCCGCACGCCCCATGGTGCTCCCTGCCACCGGCTCCGCACTGCCTGGGCGGCCCCCGTGGTCCTGGGGTGTGGGGTGTGGGACAGACAGAGGGACAGAAACACCCCCTCCAGCTGTCTCAGGCCGGCGCTGGGCGGGGGGCGGGGGGGGGCACATGGCAGGCTCTGGGCCTGGGCCACAGAACTCCTGGCCCCCTACCCGCCCCCCCCACACGGAGCATGGGCTGTGGCCCCCCTCCCCCCTCCCCCTCCCTGGGGGACTCTGGGCCCTCGAGGCCACCTTGTCGACCCCATGTCCTGACTGACAGGAACACACAGCCCGTGGGCCGCCTGCCTTCATCAGCCCCTGGGCATGTGGCGGCCGTGGCCTCTGCGGTCGGGCCATCGGAGGCCCTGGAAGGGAGGGCTGGGGCCCGTCCAGCTCTTGCTGTGCCCACCGCCCAGACTCGCGGTTGTCTGGCGGGCTGTGCGTGGGCCAGCCCAGGTGTCATCTCGGGGCGGTTCCGAGGGACAAGGGGCAACTTCTCCAGGTGCCGAGGTGACGTCTGTTGGGCAGCTGGGGCCTCTGCTGGGCTGCTCCAGGGTCTCTCCCGTCCCCTCAGGGGGAACAGGCAGGTGGCACCTGGAGCACAGCCCCCACACCCGCCACTGGGGTCCGGAGGCTTCCGTGCGTTCCCAGGGAGGGGCCGGGCCTCCCACAGCTGTGCTTCCGGAGGGAGACGGCTGCGCCGACTTGCCAGGACCTGTGAGCGGGAGGCGGGAGGGTGGCTGCCACCTGGGCCGAGGCTGCGCCTTGTCAACAGTCTCGGCTCAGCCCCACCGGCGCCTGAACTCTGCCTGACCTCGGAGGCACTTCCCCGGTGTTTTTCTGGGCTGGGGCCCTCACCCTGTCCCCGGTCAGCCTGGCAGTGCCCACAGCCCCCCTCGGATTGCGTCCTGGGCCAGCGATGGGGCAGCCTGCAGGGCCGGGGCTGAGGCCGGGGCTCCAAGAGGTGCATTCGGTGGTTGGTGGGTGGGTTGGCTTGTTGGTTCACGCGTCCATTCTCGGTCCCTGCACACTGAGGTGCAGCCCCGCGTTGGGGGAGGTGAGCTCTGGCAGCCGGGACCTCACGCAGTGCCTGTGTCCTGTCTGTCAGTGGCTGAGCTGTGGGTTCGAGCACAGGAGACCAGAGGCCCTCAGTTGTGTGCACAGGTGATTCTGGGCCGTGCAGGGTGGGCATTTGTGACTTCGGGTGACCTTGCCATGTGACCTTGGCGGGCGGGTCGTTTCTCTGTTTTCAGGGACCAGAATGTTTGTTTCCGAGGCTTTTATAGTTTCCGCTCTTGTACTTGGGTCTTTGGTCCATGGTGTGACTCATTCCCCTGCACGTGGCTGTCCGGTTGTCCATGTTTTGAAACGGTCCTGGGCTCTGTCCGGCT